TTTTTTGGGGGGGGGGGGGGGGGGAGAGGGGTTAAGGGGGACAGCCTTGTGATATCATCATCGAGGAGTGCGAACTCCCCTTCTCCGTATTAGTAGCAGGTAGATGAACCGGGACTTACTGTCTTTCTTGTCTCGGACGTATCCTGGGGCTTGGTTCCCCGCGGGGTGTAGTCCCACCCCGTAAGCGAAACTGGGTAATGCTCCCAGCCTTCCGGGTAGACTGTGAGGACCCCGGCCTCAAAGTTGTTTATTGGAAATATAAGCCTTGGGCACTGGGCCCGTTTATATCTGTTTGTGACGATATATATATACCGGCCGCAGGCAAGTCAGAAATAGTTGGTTTTACTCTTCAAGTTCCATCACCTGGATTCGAACAGGGGTCTGTATTTCAACAGTCGCAACCACTGAGTGGCTCTTGGGTACTGTTTCGTCATTATGGCTGCATGTAGACTGGCAGTTGACCCAAATGCAGCAGCAGCTAGAGTGACCGTTACTCTCTCTTCGGTTCCCCAGAGACGGAAGGGCTTGAACCTGTGACAAGCTCAGAGGAAGAGAAGCCCTGGCTGCCATTTCTTCCGTACCGTTTTCTGCGACGTCCCGACGTGAGTATACCATACCGATCCGCACAATTTTTTTTCCGTCTGTATAGATCCTCATCTGTACACAGCAAGGTCTATGATCTGTATGCATTCATCATCTGTACACGGCACGATCAATGGTCTGCATACATCCTCATCTGTACTCGGCTCGATCGATGGTCTACGCACATCAACTGTACACAGCAAGATGGATCTGCATACAGACATCATCTGCAGACGGCAAGATCCATGATCTGCATGCATATATCATCTGTATATGGCACGATCCATGATCTGCATACATCATCTATACACGGCAAGGTCCATGGATCTTGAAGGCCTGAGCCAGGCAGCAAATGATGTATATATCATCTGTACACGGCAAGATGCATGATCTGCATGCTTTTATAATCTGTACATCGCACGATCCATCATCTGCATATATCATCTATACATGGCAAGATCCATGGATCATGAAGTCGTGAGCCAGGCAGCAGATGATGTATATATCATCTGCACACGGCAAGATCCATGATCTGCATGGATGTATCGTCTGTACATGGCACGATCCGTTGATCATGAAGGCGTGAGCCAGGAAGCAGATGATGTATGGCCCAATCAACCACCATCTGTATGCCGATCAATGGTCGATCATCTGTATGCCAATCATCATCTGCATGCCGATCACCACGATAATCTGTATACCCATGAATGATCAATATGCCACTCATCATCTGTATGCCGATCATCATCATCTGTATGCCAATCATCACTGATCGACCTTCTGTATGGCAATTATCATCTCTCTGCTGAATCATCATCTGTATGCCACTCATCGTCATCTGTACGCTGATCAATCATCCATCATCTGTTTGCCGATCGTCACCTGTCTGCCGAATCATCATCTCTCTGCCAATCATCATCTTCTGTCTGCCGATCAATGCTCCATCATCTGTCTGCCGATCAATGATCGATCATCTGTCTGCCGATCATCATCTCTATGCCAATCAATCACCATCTGTATGCCAATCAATGATGCATCATCTCTATGTGAATGGATGGTAATCATCGGTACGTCTTCTTTACCCACGATGGACGATGGGCGTAATACATCATCTGCTATCCGCGTTACTCAACACCCTCTGGCAGACATCAAAAGGCGTGGGGTTCATCAGTATTTCGGTCTTCTTCTTCTTCTTCTTCTTCCTCTTCTTCCGTCTTTCTTTTTCTTCTTCTTTTTCTTCTTCTTCTTCTTCTTCCGTCTGAGCGATTGGCCTCGCATATTTCAATATTCTTCTTCTTCTTCTTCTTCTTCTTCTTCTTCTTCTTCTTCTTCTTCTTCTTCTTGCTTTTTGTCGTCGTTGAAAGCAATGGCAAGGGCGCAACACACAGGGCTTGTGGTCGTCTTCGTCGTTTTTTGGGGCTTGTTTGACAGATTGAGTAGGATGGCCAGCACCATGCTACAGAAATGCCGACCGACGCCACAGAGAGAGAGAGAGAGAGAGAGAGAGAGAGAGAGAGAGAGAGAGAGAGAGAGAGAGAGAGAGAGAGAGAGAGAGAGAGAGAGAGAGAG